AATCTTGTAAAAAATGCCTCAAATAACCAAAAACAATTGTGGAAATTGATTAATAAAAATAAAAATACTGTCCAAAAGCAAACAAATATTACAGTAGAGTCTGATAACGGACCCATAAATGACCCAGAGGAGGTTGCAGATGCTTTTAACGCTTTCTTTGCTAATATTTCTGAAAATTTAAATTTACCTACTCCGAATATGAATTGCAATTTAAATGTAGCTACTTCAAATATGTTTTTCTATCCATCTGATGAACAAGAAATTTTTAATATAATAATTAATCTCAAAAATAAACAATCTACAGGGTGGGACGAAGTTCCAACACATGTTATCAAGAAGTGTGCTCATGTAATGGCTTCTCCTCTTAACCACATTATAAATTTATGTTTTTTAGAGGGTATTTTCCCGGATAAATTAAAGATTGCAGTTGTCAAAGTTTTACACAAAAAAGGAAATAAGAAAGATATTAACAACTATAGGCCCATTTCATTGCTTCCTATTTTCTCAAAAATTTTTGAAATAGCGATATCAACACGGCTTAGTAAATATTTGGAAAAATATAGTATTCTAACTAAAGCTCAATATGGGTTTCTTAAAGGCCGTAATACCGATTTGGCAATTTTTGATGTTATAAATTATATTATGGAATCATGGAATAGAAAAACTCTGACAGTAGCTGCATTCTTTGATTTATCCAAAGCATTTGACTGTATCGACAAACAGCTGCTCTGCCTGAAGCTGGAACGGTATGGTGTAAGAGGGGTAGCTTTAAATTTGATAAGCTCTTATATGTCAAACAGAAAACAATATGTTAAAATGACTTCAGAGAGCGGTGTTGAAATTTCGTCCGACACTGTAGATTTAAGTAAAGGTGTACCACAAGGTTCTATATTGGGACCATTACTCTTTATTTTGTACAACAATGATCTTCCAACTTTTGCAAGACACAATGAAAAAATAATAATGTTTGCTGATGATACTGCAGCAATATATAGCAGTGACACTATTGAAACACTCACATCTTGCATAAATTCATCACAGAAAAACATATTTGAATGGTTTGGTAATAATGGACTAAAATTAAATTTAGAAAAGACTCAATTTATTAGGTTTGGAGAATACGGTTTTTCAGATGATCAACTTGGATTGGAAAATGATACTGTGTTGAATAGATCTGTCAAGTTCTTGGGCGTTATCATCGATAGTAAATTTTCTTGGAAAAATCACACTGAATATGTACTAAACAAAATCAATAAATTTTATTATTTGTTAATAAACCTTAAATTCAATTTCCCATCTAAGATTCTGTTAAGTATTTATTATGCTTTTGTATACTCTAACCTAAAATATGGTATTGTCTTCTGGGGCAATTCAGCTCATACTTTGGATCTTTTTATGTTTCAGAAGAAATGTATAAGATGTATTTTCAATTTGAATTCTACTGACTCATGTAGGCCTGTTTTTAGACAAAACAACTTATTAACCCTTACTGATATGTACATTTATGAAGTCTCAGTGTTCTATAAAAGATACTCAACATTATTTTCTGAGACAAATCGTAATCATACCTACTTAACACGTAATAAAAATTTACTATTAACCAAACAAACACAAATACATACCATATACAAAGGTATTCATAATTTTGCTTTAATCATTTATAATAAACTTCCTTTAACCCTAAAAGAACTTAATTTAAAAAAATTTAGGCCTGCGTTAAAATCTTACTTGGTAAGTAGGTGTGATTACGCTTTAAATGAATTCTGTAGTTGAGTTTTTTTTTTTTACTATTTTTTACTATTTTAAATTTGCTTAGTATATATTTTTAATATTTCATATTTATAATTTATATTTTTAATCAGTACATTAATTTTAATTCGTATTTGTATTGTATATGTATATTCTTTTTTGACGTGTTCTACATTGTGCCTTTGTAACAATTTTTTGAACAAATAAATCTATCTATCTATCTATCTATCTATGGATGAGGCTAGCAGACATCACAAAACAAAATAAAATCGTTCAAGAAACAAAAAAGTTATGTCGTTTTGAAAAAGAACGAACTTTTTGGTCGCGACACATTGAGTGGTGCGCAGTTTATTTGAATTAGTACCAGCATGGTTTATTAATATAATAGTCGTTTTCACTTTTAAATAGTTATTTTTTACTACTTAAATAGGTAAAGTTTGACCAATTTAAGATAAGGCAGCATATTTGACTGTTTCTAAGAGTAAAAAGTAACAAAAATCTGTAATATTTGGATTTTTTAAATAACATTTTAAATTTGTCGATAAATTATAGTAGATTATAAATTGAACCACTTTAATTTGAATTATCTCAAATAGGCGGGCCAGGAGGCGGGTGAGGCGTCACGAAAAACTAACTTTTTTTCGCAAACTTCAATTTAAATTCTGTTTGCGTCGAACTTGTCTATTTAATGTCATTATAAACTATTATAATTTTGGTGTGGGTTCCATGTCTAATAACTGAGATATTGGTATACCCAAAATCTACCAGCCGCCACTGCGTCACAGGTCTCTTTTGTCACACTGCACTGCTATCGCTACGATATTAAAAAATAAAAATAAGAGACTCTTTAAGCAAAACTTTACTGCTGAGAGTAACATTAGAATTACCTTTAGTTTGCCTAAATAATAGTCACAATGGATAAGAAAATGTGAAATATTTATTTTTAGAGGTAGATGGGTCTAAAAAGTATAAAGACCCATGTATTATATATAATATTATGTTGACATGAATTCCTAGATATATTTTGTGGTTTACTATTTTAAAATGCAGTTTTCGCTGTTTTTAGAGGACTTAAATATAAAAATGATTTTTAAGGTTATGTTTGAACAACTGACGCGTTTCTCGGAAAAACATCATTAGTCCAAAATTAACATATTTGGGAAAATGAAAAAAACTCTCCGACATTCCCATTTTTGACCAAAGTACTTTATTGACCTATTTACTACATGTAAAAAAATGTAAGATACTTTGTCCAGAATTCCTCATGTTTGTATTTTCAAATGAATATGAAAAAAACACAAAAAATACATGAACATGTGAGGTTTTTAGAAGAAAAAAACAAAGAATTCTCCTTACTACAAACACTACAAACTAAATACTAACTCTGAGTAACAAAATGAATGAAAAAACTAAAAACTGTATTACTGCCACACTCAGTCTTCGAATCCACAGCTGTTATCATCGTTATCGACCGTGTTATCAGGACTGTCAGGTGCTATGGTCTTCTGCTCTTTTATCAAGTTATCATAAAATTTTGGTAATGTAAGGTAGAAGCTTTTCTAGAGTGTCCAAAAACGTCACATGTTGTGTACATGTGACTTTCTTAGACGAAACGGAGTGGACTTGTGATGTTTTTAGAAGAACAAGCTAAATTTCATATTTAATTATTATGGAACCTATGACATTTTTACGAGAAACACTTATTTGTATACGTATATATGGAGGTTAGGAAACAGTTGGTGCTAATATCTAAATTTCGACGATATTGGACTAATGATGTTTTTCCGAGAAACGTCTCAACTATTATTTTATATTAGGTAAAGTTTTCATTAGTTATAACCAATTAATATAATATAATTAATTAATTAATTGTGCAACAACAAATATAACTACCGAATTTGAACATCTGTCAAAACATGAAAATTTGTTCTTGAATTACATTTAAAATTAAAAACACAATAATTGACCATGATCACTTAAATAAAATATGTTTAGTTTCTTAATCAAATATATAAGAAATAATTAATCAAAATCGAGTACTAAACCAAAGTTTTGCAGTTTTTACTTGCAACGCAAAACACAAATAACGTGCGCGATTCAGCTGTGCAATTGAAACTTTGCGAACAAAATTGTCGAGTAGGACTTCTGCCGTCCTCTCTTTTGTGAAAATTAAAAATGATATGCAGTTCGTATGCTATAGATGTATTGTTGACAATTATTGAATTTCCACAATGCTATCGAGCGCCACCAGATAGCTCGCGCGTTACGAAAATACGATGCTTCTTTAGCGTATACTTGAAAGTCCCGAATACAGTTGTCTTGATTGTACCCTTCAATTACTTGGCACCTTGACAGCAGAGTTGCGAGATTTGTACTTAAAATGTATTGCCATTAGAATATTTAAGTTACTTGAGAATGGAGAAAATAAAAATTATCAATACATTGTATTTTTTACTCTAAATTGATTTAAAGTAAAAATACAAAAATAATTGTACTTATTAATTTGAATAAATAATATTTTTTAGTACTTCGTATTGCAAAAAGTTTAAAGTCAAAGTAAAAAATTGATTGTACTTAAAATATAAATGAAAATGCAAGTACCAAGAATACATCGTCCTTCAAGTCATTGATTCAGTCAATTTTAATCAGAATCTAAAACTATCTTTATGCATATATTTAATATAATTGATAAACCTTTTTACAAATATTTTAATTATTGACATGTAAGTATTAAATATTTGTTATCAACCATTGTATTGTTACTTTAAACTATTAATTTTATCATTATCATGTTATCATAACCTTATAATAATTTTACATATTTTTGTAGTTTGCCTGAAGATGATCTAATATAGATCGAAACTAGTCGCAATAAAAACATAAACAAGCACGGAAGTATCCTTATTCATCATTCTAATCAAATAAAAAAAATATAATGTTTTCTGTTCTTTATTATTTTTTAATTATAAAATAAAAAAATATTTAGAATCAGTAAACATTTTAAGTTAAAATAAAAAGTACTTGATATTTTCTCTGATTATAATTACAAAATAAAAAAAAAATTGTAATTATCAAATTGGTAAAGTAAAAATAAAAAGTACTCAATATTTTTCTCTCATTACAATTATAAAATCAAGTAATAATTAGTAATGATAGCATAATCCATTAAAAAAAATACTCAGTACTCCCAACAGTAAACTTAAACTTTTAATATTAAATAGAGAACAAACCTAGATTTTTCTAAAGGAAACTTACTTGTTGCTTAAGAACATTATACAACTTATAGACTTGATACATATCCACAAAAGTTGTTCCAGCATGTTCTGATATATATTCCATTTCATCTTTATATTTATTTAAAATGCCTTGATAATAGGTGGTGTTTTTGTACTCGGCCATTAGAACTTTAAAGTCCGGGCAGTTATGCGATGACGTCAACTACGAAAGTATTTTTAAGATTAAAAGATTTTGGAATCCTTTAGAATAGGCCGTTATGAAGCTTTTAAGTTTTAAAATTTCTTTTTGGTAATTTTAATTTATAGAAATAATATATTTAACCCATATTATACAGTGTTTATTAGCCAAAGGGAACGAATTCGATAATACAATTGAGGCCTGTCAGAGCAAAGTCAACAATCTCCCGTCAGACTAAAACTGAGTAAATTGAGATAATTGATTTTGGTAAGTTAAATTCTAGATTTGTAATTTTTTTTATATATTACATTAAAATATTGTTGTTGTTAGTCTAGTAGCCAACTACAAGGTCTCCAGGATGCATAGTATAGGTGAAATCTATAATAATTATTATAAATAGGAGATTGCTGACTTTGACATGAATTGATGGAGATTGCTCATTTTGCTGTAAACGTTTAAGGAGATTTAGAAAAATAAACAAAAAAATAATTGTATTTTTCTTCCTTTAATGGTTATAAAATTTAACTATACAATCAATGTGGGAAAATTCTGAACTGGACCACATAAATCTGGAGTTTCTTCTAAACCTGGGACCAGGTTGCCTCGTGCAAATTTTTTTTTATAGTACAACAACTCATCATCTTTCCACTTTGCCCCGTAATGTTTTAATTGCAATGTTTTGACATTATCAGCCTTTTCTTGCTTTACCTTTACGTCTTATGGTATAATAGCACAAAATAAACAAGATAACTTTTTTTATAATACTTAAAACAATACAACATAGATTTACCTATTTTAAATATATTTTTAAGTGCAATTTACTGCAATAGAACTTAACAATATGTACCAGTAAAAAAACACAAAATTAAGTCTCTAAAATACGTTATAACATCAAATGTTAGGATATCAGGTGACACAAATTACTAATTTCTAATGGTGGAATTGGAGATTGTATACTTTGCTGCAAATCTATCAGTGGAGATTGTAGACTTTGCACTAAATGCCATTTTTAAAATAGGATTTTAGGCAGGATTTAGATCCTTTTGCAGCACATAAACTTTATCATCTTATAGATAATTAGTTGAAGTACAGTCTTCGCCAAAAATCTATTTTTTTTTACCAAAAGTGGAGATTGTCCCAATGAAATCCCAATAGAAAGAAGTATAATGAAGTCAGATCAGGGGATCGTGCTGGCCATAACATCGATCCTCGTCTATTTGGAAGTATTCGGTTAAGGTACTACCGGACATAAATTTGGTAATGGGGAGGTGCTCCACCTTGCTGAAACCATATCGAATTTTCTACAACAAACATGATCGAGTGTGTTGTAGCGAATTTCTTTAATCAAATATCTAATTATCGTTCTTTAATGTTAATTTTATAATATTTCCGAAAAAATTGAAGATATGTATAGGACATTGTACATAAAATATGTATAATTTTTAGAAGAATCCAAAAATTGAATTATATACAGAGGAGTTGCATTCGAAATAAACTAGTTGGTATTGGCCACTTCTACATGACACCCTGTACAAAAAGTTTTTTTTTTAATGCGCAACTAACAATACCAATCGAATACGCCCCTATTTATTTATTATCGAATTTATTCCATTTGGTTGATACACACTATATATTTATATATACGAGGTGTGTTCAGAAAATATCGGGAATTTTTGTTTTTTGACAAAAATATTTATTTACTCGTCTACCTTAATGTTGTCGCCTTTAAAATAGTCCCCATTGGATATTATGCACATGTGCCAGCTCTTCTTCCAATACTCGAAACACTTCTAAAACTCGATCTTTGGGAAAGCCTTTAGTTCTTTCAGCGATGCGCTTTTAATGTCATCTATGCTTGCAAAACGACGGCCCTTTAAGGTTCTCTTTATTTTTGGGAATAGGAAAAAGTCAGACAGAGGCATGTCTGGCAAATATGGAGGCTGGGGCATCATTACAGTATTGTTTTTGGCCAAAAATTTTGCTGCCACGCGTTGCATACCCAAAACATAAGAAAAAATTTCATGGGATGAGCCAATCGATATACCAACATCACCAGAGACTTCTCTGATGGTTTATAACCATTTCTTCCACTTTTTCCATGTTTTTATCGGTTGTTAATGTGCTTGAGCGTTCGGGGCGTTCGTCATCTTCAACGTCTTCACGGCCATCTTGGAAACTCTTATACCACTTGTAAACTCTTGTTTTACTTATAGCAGACTCACTATAGGCCTTTGTTAACATTTTACAGAATTTATTTCATTTTTTAAGCAAAATTGGATACAAATTCTTTGATCCATTTCTTTTTACGAACGAAAATCACCGAGCTCATAAAACATGCCTAACCTTAGCGGCTGCCATAGACAAAGTAAACAATGAAAACAGCTAAAGTTTTTATCATACTTCGGGGGCATGTATACCAACATAATAAAGAAAATTTTATGACAACCGGACCCTCCGAACCCGCGAAATTCCCGTTATTTTCTGAACACACCTCGTATATATATACACACATGATCAAAATTGTTGCATATTTTTGTATTTTAATTTTCGCTTTGTATAATGTTCTGTTTTTTGTTGTTTTGAAATAAATTTTCATTTAATTGTTATAATACGTAAAATAAAGAAAATTTAATAAATTGAAGTATTTATGTAGGAAATAATAAAAATAAAAGTTTCGGAACCAATCATCCTCCTCGAAGACGATAGTTCCGACGAGGATGATAACTTTGACAACAGTATTTAGATAAATAATTTATTGACAATAAAATGCATAGTGTACATTACAATTATAAACAATTTTGAGAAAAATTCACCTTCATTCTATAAATAAAATTTATATTTAAAATGTTTTTTCACCTAAATCGTTTCTGATAATTTTTAAAAATTATATTTAGTTTTATTCTTAATATTTCCTACAAAAATATATACTTTAATATATTAACTTTTCTTTATTTTACGTATTATAACTATTAAATGAAAATTTATTCCAAAACAACAAAAAACAGAATTTTATACAAAGCGAAAATTAAAATACAGAAATTTTGATCATGTGTGTATGTATATATATATATATATATATATATATATTGTAGCGAGAACCGCTCTGGATATCGGAGTGATGACTCATCGCCGGTTAGTCATCGCCGATGAGTCATCGCCGGTGACTCAGCGCTCGAACAATCGAGAGTGTGGAGCTCGCTGGAATGTTCCAGAAGACCTTGGCGCTGAATATATAAGAAACGGAGCAGCACACGGCAGTCAGTCCAGTTTTGGTACTCGCGTCGAAATAAATAAATATACGTGAAAATAAATAGACTCTTGAACAGTAGTGATATATAAATAATTAGCAGTTTAGTAGTGTTTAGTTAGTTTTATAGTGTTTTAAGTGTAGTTAAGTTATTAAATAAATAGTTAAGTTCGTTAATTAACCAGTGCGTGTTTTAATTCACACTACGAACAGTTAAAAACGTTACAATTGGTGTCAGGAGTGCGGTTAGTGTGAAATTTCGCGAAAATGGTTTCGTTAATGGACTTAAAAGTGGCGGACCTTAAGCGGGAGCTGGAAGAAAGGGAATGTGAAACAACTGGAAAAAAGAATGTGTTGCAGCAGCGGCTTCGAGAAGCGTTGGAACAAGAGGGTGAAAATCCAGATACGTATTTATTTGAAGGTTCGTGTGATATGCATTTAATGTTGCAAAATTTAAACGATTTAAAACAGAAAATGCTAGAAAATTCTAAAGAACTAAAAGTCGATTTGCAACAGAAAATGTTGGAAAATTCTAGTGATGTACAACAGAGAATTCTGGAAAATTCTAACGAGTTACAACAGAAAATGTTGGAAAATTCTAACGAGTTACAACAGAAAATGTTAGAAAATGTCAACGATTTAAAGGATGATTTGCAACAGAAAATGGTGGAAAATTCTAGCGATTTGAAAATCGATTTACAACAGAAGATTCTGGAAAATGTCAACGAATTAAAGGACGATTTGCAACAGAAAATGCTAGAAAATTCTAAAAACCTAAAAGAATATTTGGAAGGGAAGATTCTAGAAAATGTCAATGAATTAGAAGAGAAAGTTGACGATGTAAGGATGGAATTAAATAACGTAAGGATGGAATTGGATACGAGAGAAGAAAAATTGAACGAGAAATTGGAGGTCAAAATTAGAGAAATAAATAGTAAACTGACAGCTGTAAATCTACCCATGATGCTGGCGGAACCAGGAACAATGCCGGAGGGGAGCCGAGTTCGAATGAAACCACCTCAGTTCGATGGAAAAACTTCTTGGACCAACTACATCCGTCAGTTTGAGGCAGCAGCAAAAGCAAATGGCTGGCTACCAGAAGAAAAAGCTACAGCATTGACTCTGGCTTTACGCGGAGATGCAACGGACATCTTGCAGACACTCTCTCCCAACGAACAAGAAGATTACGAAGCGTTGGTTAAACATCTGGAACTTCGATATGGCCAGACACATCTGGAACATGTGTACCATTCCCAACTAAAGAATCGCTGCCAGAAATCTAACGAGACTTTGCAAGAATTTGAGGCTGATATTGCACGCTTGGTGCGGCTAGCATATCCAGCTACTCCAACGACCGTTATGGAACGATTAGCGGTTCAAGCCTTTTTGGATGGACTTCGGGACAACGAAACAAGACAGGCTCTGACGTTGGCTCGTCCGAGTCAACTGGTTGATGCATTGGCTCGAGCTTTGGAATTCGAGGCGGCAAAGGAGAGCTGCAGGAGCCAGCCTAGAATTAGGAGAGTCGAAGAAGAAAAGAAGGAAGAACCCAGGATAATTGAAGCAATTAGGCGAGTTCTTAAGGAGAATTTACCAGAGAAGAAGGAAATCCGGTGTTGGAGATGTGGAAAGCTGGGACATAAACAAAGTCGTTGCAGAGGAAGTCAGGTGGCGCCGACTTCATTTAGAAAAATAAATAGGGCAGAAGAAAAGGATGTGTTTGTTCGCAGGACTACAA